GTTGCTGAGGCGCTCAGAACCTGCTCGGAACCGAAAAAAGATCAATGGGCAGTGCTCCAAGGCTGGGCTGCGGGCTGGTCTGAGGCCTCCTCCTGCTGACGGCGCGTCGAGGTGGAAGGCTGCCTGCGCGATGCACACCCCAAACTTTTCCCTCCCAAGAGGCGGCCGGTCTGTGTGCTGAATGAATGAATGGATGCGTACTACTGCAACGGCGTGCAGGTGTTTGAGTACATCATGCAGTCGCTGGCCAACTACCGGTCCATGCACATGCGCATGCAGCAGCTGGCGGCAGAGGGCGCGCTGGACGGCGGCGAGGCCGACGCCGCGCACCGCGACCGCGCCGCTGCAGGCGCGTCGCCCCGCGCCCGGCCGCTGCCGCATGCCCCTCCTTGCTCGCCCGCTCGGCAGCATGATCGCCGGAACGCAGCCAGCGCCCCACATCAGCCGTCGCGCAAAAAAAAAGCACCCCGCTCGCCTCCCCCGCAGAGATGCATGCCGCCGCCGCTGGCAACATCATGGCGGCCATGAGCGACCTGGACGGCTTCACCGCCAAGCTGAACGCCATTCTGCAGGCAGACCTGACGCACGCGGGTGGGGCACGCGGCCGCAGGGCTGCCGCAGCCGGCCAGCCGCCGCCCCTGCCTCAGCCGCGGCTGCCCCCGGGCCCTGCCCGCCTCGCTTCTCTCACCTCTGCTCCTTCGTGTGCCCAACCAAAACCCTCCCTCGCCCTCCCCCCTGCCCTATGCCGCCACCCCCACCCCCCTGCAGCGCTGGCCGCGGGCCCGCTTGAGGTGGCCCCCAACCTGATGCAGCAGCTGGGTTCGGTGCTGGCTGTGGAGGGGGGCGGCGGCGGGCTGGCCTCCCCCGACACCGACGCCCTGCTGAAGCAGCTCAAGGCGCTGCAGGAGCAGGTGGCGCTGCTGGATCGCATCCAGAACATCAGGTGGGGGCGGTGGTGGTGGTGGTGGGGTGGTGGTGGTGGTGGGGTGCTGGAGCCTGTGCCTGCTTGCTCGGGCTGGGTTGCTGCGGCCCGGAAGCGGGGGGGTGCCCCGCGCCGACACACGCCGCTCCTCCACAATGCAACAACAGGAACGCCGGTGCCTGCTGCCGCGTGCCGCCGCCTTTCCCTTCACCTCCCTTCTCCCCTCATCTGCCTCACCGCCTGCCCCGCGCCGCGCCGCGCAGGGTGAAGAACATCCAGGACGAGTATCAGCGGTACATGGAGCGGGTGCGGGCCAAGGCGCAGTCGGCCATAGACCAGGCCAACACAGCCTACAGCCAGCAGCGCACGGTGCTCATGGCGCGCTTCGACGCACTCGTCACCTACCTGTCGCAGCAGCAGGCGGCCGCCGCGCAGCAGCGGCAGCAGGCCGCGGCCGCCGCGCAGCAGGCGATCGCCGCCGCGGGGCAGCAGCAGCTGCAGCCTGGCGGCGGCGGCGCGGCTGCGGCGGCTGCGGGGCAGCAAGCCGTAGCGGCGCAGGCGCAGGCGCAGCTGCATGCCGGCCTGGCCAAGGCTGCTGCCGGGGAGGGTCAGGCGGCGGCGGCTGCTGCGGCGGCCGCCGCCAGCAACCCCATGCACATGCTGTCCCACGCGATGGCCTCCCAGCTGCTCTCGCTGCAAGCCGGCATGGAGCAGGCGGCGGCGGCGGCGGGCAACCCCGGCGCCGCCGCCGCGGGCGCCGCCCCTGCGGCCATCACGCCGCAGGCCGCTGCTGCTGCGGCGGCTGCGGCGGCGGCGCACCACCCGCTCAACGCCGCCTTTGCCCAGTGCTGCGCGCTGCCGGAGGCTGAGCTGCGGGCGCAGGTGGGCGGGGCGGGAAGGGCGATGGGTGTCGGTGCCAGCCTCACCAATACCGGCTTTGGACGGTTCCCAGCATTGCCGGCTGCGCTGCTGGCACCGCGCTGATTTGCATGCTCGCCTGCCTGTCTGCCCGGCTCAGCACGCCACCCACGCCCGCCCCTCTGTCCGATTCGTCGCCTGCCGGCCCCTGCTGCAGCTGGAAAGCTTGGAGGCGCTGGTCAAGGCGGGGAGCCTAGCGCCAGACGCGCCGCAGCTAGCCCTGGTGCACGCCGCGCTGCAGCACCACGCGGCAGTGCGGGCGGCGGCGGCGG